CACCAGATTTGGTACTTATGTTGAAATTGTATGAAGTTGAATTAGGCAAGACATTGGCAGGAGAAATCATCAGCCAGTTTTTTATGGTGTTTCAAATAAAGTATGTTTCAAAACGATTTTTATTTGAAGTAGAGTAACCATAGTTTTTTTTTTTCATTTTGTTTTGCATGTAACACTGGACAACATTTTCTGGACGAATTTTTAAATTGAACATTTTTTGCAATTGTTCAAAAGAACTGAAACCATATAAATAGATGGAGCAAAGCACGAGCTAATTTTCGCTAACTAAAGCTCTCTAAAAGTCAAATATTTATGAAGTGAAATGCTGATTATATGATAGACAATGTACGATGTTTATGTGAACTTGATCATTTTCATATGTTGAGTAATTTTCTTTCCAAATATTTTTATGTTTGAAAGAGCATTTGCACTAACAATTTTCAGAAAATCTTTACTCGAAATCGAAAAAAGCTTTTAGGAAACTTTATATCATCATCTGCATTATGCAACGTCAGGTTTTTTCGACTATGATATTTGAAAAAAAAATTACTCAATATTTAAAAAATGATAAAGTTTCCGTGAACATTATCAATTTTCCGTCATATAATAAGTATGTCACTTCATAGAAAAGCGATTTTCAGAAAATCAAAGTATACAAACGTGCAGGTCGTATTTTGCTTCTATTTATATGGTTTGAATTCCTTTGAACAATTTAAAAAAGTATGTTCGAAAATTTTGTCCATTGCTGTGTATTGATGCTTACACTAGTATTGTTTGTGCTTTATTTCTCGTTAATAAAACTCGACATAATCAAACAAGAATATCAATTATTAGAGAAACAATATAGGTATTTACTGTATTTCATAGTATCATCACTAAGGCAGCCATTTTCAAAATTTATTTATTTTGTGTTCCTATTTAATGATGATTTACAAATTGCACGATATCTATTGCTGAACATATTGTCCAATCAAATCACTATTTTTTTCCGACTAAATGAATCGATTCGGGTAGTTTCATGGTAAGCTGTAAGACCCTGGATGAGTCATACTTTTGTTATCAGATTGTAACGTTATTTAAGCACTTGATTTATAGTTTCTGGTCGATGAATTCTATATGACAGTTTAGGTATCAAAAAATTCTAAATTTAATTTACAATCGACTGATACATTTCTGATTATGGGGTGATTTCTCTAAACTTGATTTTTAGACCGAAAGCATTTTGCTTATACCGCCCTCTTCAGTTTTCGCCATAGTAGTGGTGGCTATTCTTGAATAGCCATTAATTAATATGTTCATCTCTGCAGAAACAACCTCTTTCTTGATGCTTTATCAATAAAAATGAGAGTTGCCCCTAATAACTATGTTATAAAAATGTTCCTTTTTCAGTTATAGAGTATATTATATGAAAATCTTTTGAATTTCTTCATAGGCCCCAAATAAGATGTAGATGTCACTGATGCGAAGTGCATCTACTATTAATTCAAAGAAAGAAACGTCTTTCAATCCCTCTGACAGTATATCATCACAGTGGTTGACTGTAAAGACTTTTTTTGCTTATTATGTCAACTGCTGGTGAAATAATATTTGATCGTTCATCAGATAATCATGAAGAAGTGTGGGATGATACTGAATTAATTCGAGCTTATGATCGAGCTCATCGACAAATTCAAAATCGTCTTCGTAACAATTCAAAAATAAAAAAAGATTCATCAATAAATAAAAATGAAAAAAATTTTCAAGCAAATAACAAACATAAAACTAAAAAAGCCGATGTAAAACAATCATCAACAACAATGAAATGTCCTATTCCAATGCCAATAAATATGATAACACCACCAAAAAATGAACAAGATGCTTTTCATTCTATGTTAATGGCTTGGTATATGGCTGGTTATCATGCTGGACAACTTGCTGCCAAAAATTGGAAGAGAGACAGTTAACTATTTCTATTTTTTGTTGTTTTTATATGTTAAATGTTAATATGTTTCCAGAGTCAACAAGAAATGTGTAAAAGTCATTAAAAAATATACATGTATGTTTTCCAGAATTAATTGAAATAATTTATATACATGAGTGCAAATGAATACTTCCCATTGACTATCACAACTTAATAAATGATTTATCGACATAAATATTGAGAATTAACTTGAAATATTCTACATCGTAAAAAACATTTTATTAATATCAAAATAGATTATTCTATTGAAGAATTAGAGCGATTAGTTAACTTTGTTTTTTGAATCGATAGGATAACATGAAATTCAGTTATGTATAAAAAATAAACAAATCATCATTCTCAAAATTAAATTAAATAGATTTATTTTTTCAACTATTGCTAAAAGAATACTTCATAATTTAAATTTACAAGACAAACATTGACTAGTTTAAGATTATTAATAATTTCAATAATAAATTTGTTTTTTTTTACAAGTTATGAAGAAATTATTACGTCGAGCAAGTATAAATAATATTTACAACGTAATTATCATGTTTACTGATATTTTTTTTTCGGGCCTCAAATATACGTCATTATTCTAAAAGTACTAATATTTTGCATACTAAAAATTCAAAATAATTGACTTAATTATTATCACTTGTATTGTTTAAAACAACTTTTTTTCACTCTAAACGTTCTATAAAGGTTTCATGATATTTTGAAGAATTAAAATAGACCATTTTGCTTTTTCTTCTTGTTGTGACTACGCAAAATGTTCCTACGATTTTTTTTCGTCTTTCATTAACATACAATATCGATACGCTTGATAGTTTTCATCTATGAATCATTGATAAATTTCGTAATGAAAATATTTATAAGGCAAACACAGTCTTGCATAAAAAAAACGTAGCTAATAGACGTTTCGAAAAAATATTTTTCACGTCGAAACTAAAAGCGGCATACGATGGGTCAAGGAATGGCTTCAGGAAGAAACAATGGAAATAGATTCTTAAATCCATTTGCAGGGGTCCAACTAAGAAATGAACAACCTGTTTTGATGATGCAAATGATGGCATCGACTGTTCACCCTGTAGAACGACATCGAGGAGGACACAAAGATTTATATGGTCAACAACAGTATTATCAATATCGTTAAAGTGAACAAGACTTTCGTTCAATAAATATGGCGTCATATTCTTACTTTTAAATTTTAATCGATCGTTTGTGTAATGTTCGATATATAAAAATAAAGATCGCAAAAAACTAATTAATCATTGGATCAATAATAAATATATTTCAAAAGAAAATTTGTATCGTGTGTGACATATTGTACGACTTGTTTAAGATATAAAAGTGCTTGAAGCAAATTTATTGACTGATTTTAGAGCAGTGTTCAAATTTCAAAAACAACGTCGACGAAAAAATCATATCAGCAAGAAAATTCTGAATTTACCATAATTTCTGTTAAACCTTACATTAGAAGTACTTATGTCACTGACAAACTGGATCATCATTAAATTTCTTCATGTTATGAGCTCAGAAAACAAACCATTCTTCTAAATTGAAGTCGAAAATCAATTAGTTCATCTACAGTGTGATCAATACAGCAGCATGATTTGATCTGCATTTTAGCACCAAAACATGAAATAAATGATTTTTGATTGAGCCGAGAATGTGTGAACAAGAATATTTAGACAGTTCTAATTGATGGATTGGCGATCACTAGTCGATCATGAAAGCCTAATATCTCAAAAAATAAAAATGAATATATCGTTACAGTTGATCTATATGTGTTTCACATTGTTCTTCGTCAAGACCCTGTCAAGAGAAATATTATATTCAATTGTCCAAATGATATTTTGATTTGACTTCATGCTTTGGTTACACCCGCAACAGGATCATGGATGAATTCTTCGATGAAAATAAAATTTCTTTAAACAATTTGAAATACATATAGATCAACTCTAATGATATGTTCGTTCTTATTTCTTGAGATATCAGGCTCTTAAAATCGACTATTGACTGTAAATCAGTCAATTAGGACTACTCAAACATTCTTGTTTGTCCAATCTCGGCTCAATGAAATAATTAGTGACTACATCTCAGAAGAAACATCTGTCCTCTTCGTAGTTCACAACACGAAGAAATCTTATTGTGATATTCGAACTTGTAAGAGGTGTAGGTACTTCTAATTTCGAATTTTACGAGAAAATTTCTATACGATTAGAGTCATCTGCTTCAGTGCTACAAACTTTCGTAATTTTATGTTCTTCCGGAAAAAAAGAATTAAATGAATCAAAGTTGGTCCATATGTACTCACATGTTTTCGGTGCTTACTCTTATACCACAGGAAAAATTCTAGAAAAATTCCGAAATTTTTCATATATCACTAGGCAACTTTCAAATAATTTCGATAATAAACAATTCTAAAAAAAAAACAAATTTTCAGCTATTCTCAGAAAATTTCAGCATTCAAAAAGGCATAATATTCACAAAGTTCTACAAGCATAATACTGAACGAACTATTTCACGAAATGCATAGACTGAATTCCAGTAATTACAATTACAAGAAGACTGATAGTAAACTTCGTTAGATTCGAAAATGACCAAATACATATTCGTGATTAATACTAATGCATTTTCCAACCGAAAACAAGAACCTACCCTGACAAATACTGGTAATTCTAGTAAACTCTAAGGAACTTCGACAATGTTTAGGAACTTCCAGTAAACACTGTAATGGATATCTTTATTGAACATATTTCTCAACAGTTCATAAGAATAAACCTATTATACTATTTTTGTTATCAAGCAACTTAATATCTACTATGTTGAAGAATAAAATTTTACTTTTTTCATTCATAAATCAACTCAAGATCCATATATCAGCATCCGATACATTTATTATTACACAAAAGAATCAAATTATTGCTCTGAGTAAGCATTAAAAATGAAAAAAAAAACGAATTATACATTAATTCGAATATCTGAAATAATTTGAATAACAAAAAAACAAAAAGATACAAACAATCTAATGACCTGGATACCCTTAAAAACTCTTTTATTGATCATCACCACCACGTAATCGAAGTACAAGATGAAGTGTACTTTCTTTTTGAATATTGTAATCACTTAATGTTCGTCCATCTTCAAGTTGTTTGCCGGCAAAAATGAGACGTTGTTGATCAGGTGGAATACCTTCTTTATCTTGGATCTTAGCTTTTACATTTTCGATAGTATCACTTGGTTCAACTTCGAGTGTAATTGTTTTGCCGGTGAGAGTTTTAACAAAAATCTGCATACCACCACGTAATCGAAGAACTAAGTGAAGAGTACTTTCTTTTTGAATATTGTAATCACTGAGTGTTCGACCGTCTTCAAGTTGTTTACCGGCGAAGATAAGACGTTGTTGATCAGGTGGAATACCTTCCTTGTCTTGGATCTTTGCTTTGACATTTTCGATTGTGTCACTTGGTTCGACTTCAAGTGTAATAGTTTTGCCGGTGAGTGTTTTCACGAAGATTTGCATACCACCACGTAATCGAAGTACGAGATGAAGTGTACTTTCTTTTTGAATATTGTAATCACTTAATGTTCGACCATCTTCAAGTTGTTTGCCGGCAAAAATGAGACGTTGTTGATCAGGTGGAATACCTTCCTTGTCTTGGATCTTAGCTTTAACATTTTCGATAGTATCACTTGGTTCGACTTCAAGTGTAATAGTTTTGCCAGTAAGAGTTTTTACGAAGATTTGCATAGCTGTTATTTAATAACAAGTAATAGAAGAGAAGAAAAGGCTATTTGTTTAGCACGAGTTGAATGAAATAACGTTCGAAAAATTATTGCTTTTATACTGTACACCTCGTGACAATGAATCAGCTGCTTGATACTTCGCAACGATAAAGAAATTACGATATATAAATAATGACGCAGTACAAGGGACAAAAATAAGAAAAAATAAGGAAGAATCGAAGGTGAACTTAGAGGGCAAAATAAATAATTTGCGTCAATCAATTTAAAATATTTGCCTTTTTGTTGTTACAGTACAGGTGCGGAAGAATTTTTCTAATGAGGTCAATGTTGAGATTTAGTTTTACTCAGCAATCGTACTGGAAATAAATTCAATTGAAATAAAACTATTCGCTATGACGAAGGATAAGAAATTATTTTCGATTAGTTTAGTTATTATCCAATCAAATTGTTCTGAGCTATTGTACATATTTTTCTGATGAAAATGCTAGATTGATCTATATCCGCAACATATCTATTCTGTCTGGGGGGAAAATACGAGAAAAGGAAAGAATGTTATAGTTATCAGACATTGCTTGCGCATAATAATGGAAGAAAACGGGTATGATGATCGTTACAGACAGATACTGTCATGAACATGAAGCTGACTCTTATATCTTTTTCTTGCGTAATCGACATTTGATTTGTTTTCTTATGTCAGTAGCATATTCAGTGATAGACATGAACACTTGATGGTTTTTTTTCTCTTTTAGATCTTCTCTAGAAAATGACAAACATGTTTCTTATACAAATATTTTTCTTTATTATTATCAAATCAATTCTTATTCGTAGTGAATCATTTACATCAACAACACACTTAACTCATTTATTAAATACTGAAATTGCTCTAGCTAAAAAGTTAGAAACATATCTAAAACAAGAGTACGAACGATTAGATCATATAGAAAAGTAATTGTAAAAAAAAGAAATATATATCTTTTAATCGATCTATTTATATGATTTTTTTGTTTCGTTAAGATTTATTAATGTTATCAAAGATGAAATTCGCCAAGCACAAGGAAATGAAGAATATTATTTTGGTAATCCAGTTAATTCATATTTATTTATTAAACATTTAACAACTGATTGGAATAGTATTGAAGACATATTACCGACAGGTGTAAATCATTTCATAAGAAAACTACAATTTTCATCATCAGTTTTGTTTTTTTTGTAGACTTTGCAAAAGATATGACCAGTCAATGGATATTTCCTACATTTGAAGATTATACTGGTAAATGAATAATTGTCTTTCGTTTTTTTTTTGTGATTTGAAATATTTACTATAAAACAAAATAGGATCTGCTATGGGATTAATGCGTTTACAAGACACATATAAATTAAATACAAGTCAGCTAGCGAATGGTGAACTAAGTTCAAAATTTAAATCCAAACGATTAAGTGGTTAGTCTAATAAAATTTTTATGTATATGATTTTTCTTCTATGGATAACTTCCGATTAATGTGTCTAGCGTTTTCCAAAAAAAAGTTTGAATTTTTTTGACAAATATTTTTTTTCGTCGGTTTTTGCTCACAAGAGAACTGCTCCAAATGATCCAGTGCCTTTGCAGTGATATTTTATACAGAGGTCTTTCTTGTCATACTATGAATATTTTATTAGGTTTATCACTAATAAAAACAGATTTATCGAAAACTTAAGATACAAAGTTTTAATCTGAAATTTCTCCTACAAATAAATCTCGTCACCATTGTAACAACCTAAATGTCATCATTAAAAACAAATGCTTCTTTCTCGAGATAGTGAGTTTTAGAGAAAAAAAAAAGTCAATTTTTCTGGCATAAGGATGTTTCTCGAAGACTTATTGTCTTGATAAAGAAGCATTCGTTTTGATTTTGACGTTTAGATCGTTATAAAGATTTCTTGTTAAAAGTGATAAATTTGGTAAAATTCTCAGAACTGCACAAGATAGATCTATGAGAACTTATCCTATTAAACATTTTCTAATGTCACTGATTCCTATTTATAAGAACAAAAAAAAAAATATCAGCGCAAAAGCTTTGAATAATTTCGAACGACTCCCTCGTAAGCCATTTTCTGCTATGCAAAACTAAGCTCACTGTGGAACAAACTTCAGCCACTCATAATTAAAATCATGCTTCAATGATTTGCTTTTCATAGCTTTGGAATGTTATGATTTGGGACGCGTCGCATATACAAATGGAGATTTTTATCATACATTAATGTGGATGCAAGAAGCGCTTGATCATCTAGATACAGAAACAAATAATACATCAATTAATAAAATTGATATATTAGATCATCTTGCTTATGCAACATCACAGGTAAAAAAAAAATAGAAGTTTGTGTTAATTGAAGTCTTAGTTTATTGATATATTTTAGCAAGGAAATGTTGAACATGCATTAGCAATTACAAAAGAAATGCTTACAATTGGTAGGAAAGGAATTTTACTTTGATTTTTAGAAATAAAAATTTGATTGTTTTGTGTTTTTCTTTAAGCTCCGGATCATGCTCGTGCAAATAATAATAAAGTTTATTATGAATCTATTATTAAAAATCGAACATTAACGAAACAAAAACGAAAAGATGATATAAATATGAATGATTTAACAAATCTTAAATTAAAGTCAATAATATCAAATGATAAAAATTATACAATAAATAATGAACGATCAGATGATGATTTAGAGGAACAAGAATTATATGAAAAACTTTGTCGACAAAATGGAGCTCAAGTAAAGTCAAGAAAAAAAGAATGCGAATATTTATCTTCTAATATTCTTTTTTTGTTCTTTAGTTAAATCCAAAACATCAAGCAAAATTATTTTGTCGTTACCGTCATAATAATCATCCATATCTAATTTTAAAACCAATTAAAGAAGAACAATTATTAGATCAACCAGCTATTTATCTTTTTCATGATATTATGAGTGATAAACATATTGAAGAAATTAAATCACTTGCTTTACCAAGAGTATGTCATATCTAAATAGAATATATGATAATAGAAGATATAGTTTCTATAAAAATTCTCACTTTACAGTTACAACGTGCCGTCGTTCGTGATTCTGCTACTGATACTTTTAAACCAGCTGATTATAGAATTTGTAAGAGGTACGGGAAAAATACATTTATAGTTAGTTATCTATACTGATTATCAATTGCACTTGGTGTTCAAGTAATTTTTTTTGTTTGTAGTTAATTAAAAACACAACGAATTTTGTGCAGTTGAATGTTGTGCCTGATTTATTGAAATGAAAAATTCTATGAGTTTAGATACTAATGGTATTTTATAATAATATCGTTTAATTATTGTATAATTAATAGAAATAGATGTAAAGAGTTAACTCTAGATAAATATAGATGATTTAGCTGCGTAATTCTACTTTCCTTCTTCTCTATCTGTATGCGCTAATATTGAATTAACCTATTAGAATTGTTATTAGTCGATTTGAGTGTTTTTCTTGCAAAGTCATATAATAAACTTGTTGTGAGGTAGAGAATTAAAAAAAGGTTTTATCATTACTAAATTCTTTTTCTTCATAGACTATTCTTTAAAACATGTTGTTTATACAGAACTAATTTTACACATAACTAATAGTTTTTTTTATTGTAGATTGCATGTCCAAAAATTCAATGCTGCTCATAAATCTATTTCGATAAGTGTATTAAGAGTATTGCAAAAGGGTGAGAATTAACAATGATTGATCTGTATTAATTATAGAGCTACTAACAATTTTTATTCGGAGTTTAAAATAATTTTAAATCTCTTGCTAAAATAAAATCGACATTTTCTCAAGGTTAAACAAGTACCGAACCCGAACTTGGGTTCAACGTTCGGGACGAACAATTCGCGCTCTGCTTCTGCAACTATCCAATTAGTTCAGACATTGCTGAGAATTTTTTGCTCAAGCATTTCTTGAGGTATATCGTCAAGATAATCTTGAATATTCTATGATTATACGATATATAATATTATGGTTATAGCTGAGAAGAGCAATCGTACAAAACTCTAAAACATTAAAAACAAATGAACATGCCAGTTACGGAGTGAGCAAAAGGTACGAAATGAGAAAAAACTGTGCTCCCAATTTTCATCTAGTACGCATGTGAACCAGCTATTGCTTTCAATCGTCAATGTCAAAAGCTTTGATTTTACATTTCACGTCATCAGTTAATCACATTTAAAATTATTAATTTTTATGTTATGATTTTGCTTTATGCATGTATTAATTATTAATATGAATTTAATTTGAATGTTGTTTTTTTTTTCGTGTCGTCTATTGAAATAATTTTATATTTTAGCGCTTGGTTAAGAAATGAAGATTCACCAGTAGTAGCTCGTTTATCACGATTGATTGAAGCTGTTACAAATTTAAGCATGATAACAGCGGAAGATCTTCAAGTAAGTAGATATAATTATTGTACAAAAAAAAAAAGAATTATTGATTAAATTATAAGATTGCAAATTATGGTGTTGGTGGTCATTATGAACCACATTTTGATTTTGCACGAGTGAGTTATTCTATTAAGTAATTTTATTACATAAAACTAATTCAATTTAGAAAATGGAAAATGATGCTTTTTCAGGCCTTGGTGTTGGTTAGTTAATAAAACTTTGTATGAAAAATTTTATAATAAAAAAAAAAAAAAACTTTGTTTCACAGGAAATCGTATAGCTACATGGTTGACTTATGTAAGTTAATTTTTGTTAGAAATATTTTAGAACAGAAAAAAAAAGAAGAAGTAAACTTTTTTTTAGTTGAGTAATGTAGAAGAAGGTGGTGCAACTGTTTTTCCTTTAGTTGGTGGTCATTTAAAACCGAAAAAAGGAAGTGCAGCATTTTGGTATAATCTTCATGCGTCTGGAGAAGGTTACAAATTATTTTATTTTTCTCTATGTTTATTATAATTAACTTTTCCTTTTAGGTGATCGTAGTACTCGTCATGCAGGTAGAGTTTTAGTTCTGAATATTTTTATGTGCATTGTTCTTTTTCCTTTATCAGCTTGTCCTGTATTGATTGGTAATAAATGGGTAGCAAATAAATGGATTCGTGAACGTGGCCAAGAATTTCGTCGACCATGTTCACTTGATCCAAAGGCATGAATATAAAAAAAATATATATTATCTTGATATCAGGGACTCGTTTTTTTTTTTTTTTATATTTATTTGTATGAATATATTGACATTTTCTTTTGAGTGGAAACTTTTTTGCCAATTTTAGTGTATATAGTTACAGCAGAAACAATGATATGAGAAGACAAACAGTTAAAACTCAGGTTTTTAATAATATTGTTTTTGTTTTTTTTTGTCATATTTGACACTAGTATTTAGTTTTATTAGTATTGAATTTTTTCAGGGTAGCACGATAAATATGTCTGCGTTTTTTGCATATTTTTATCAATTATCTTTGTTAAAATAAATAAATTCTTTACTTTTATCAATTAATGAACATTCTTTTGTTTTCTGAAACAGAATGACATGACATTTATTTCTTAATCAAATATATAGTATAAGTTATATAATGAGTTTACATAGAGAAAATTAATGTGATATTTGTCATGTAATGAGGATGGCTGTTTTCAACATGAGATTAAGGTCATCATGATTATTAGCAATGAACCTTACTGACAGGAAAATGTTAAATATCCATTGAGAATTGAGTAAGTTTTATTGAATTTCCAAGTTCGTATATTTCAACTAAATTGAGAGTAATTAATAATTAAATTAAAAAAGTATTCTCATTCGACTTAATGAGTTAATAGCAGAATCGAATATTTCTTTTATGAAATAAGACAATTTTTCTTTTGTTATTCTTATTCGTTGTATTATTGATGAATATACGATGAGACAAATTCAAGGATAATGCAATTAGATATTTCACAAAGACATTTTCTTGTTTGTGTCTATCATCTTTGACCTTGATTTCATCATATGACAATATACATAATATTGACATTCTCTGTGAGTTTCTTTCCATGGCTTATTTGGATATAATTATTGTAAAACTGCATATTTAACTGTTATTTTGAAATAAAAATTAAAAGCTAAATTATATGAATGGTTTCTTATGAAAAACAAGAGCTGATTTATAAAGAAAAAAATTTTTATACCAGCTATTTACGATGAACGTAAACGAAATGATTTCGAAAAAAAATATCTTTCTCAAATATTCAAATCTACTTGTATTTTTGTTTAAATAATAATTGTTCATCTAACAACAAAATTACTTTTATCTTATATTTTGATTAGTAAATTGTCGAAAATTTTCTTTTTACGATCTAAAATCCATAAAAAGAACTTCAAAGTATTTCTCGAATGATACTACAGGTCTAATTGTATTCTATTATTATCATATGCAAACAGAAGAAGAATTTTTCTATATACTTCAGAAATATATATATATAATGTATTCCAAAAAAAGATACAAAGATAGATAATATAATATGATATCATTCTCTATTTATATCCATGTTATGTAGTTCGTAGTAGATAGGTCAGATCGATCTAGATCAAAAAGTTTGCTTTAATAATTGGTACACGATTTTCTTCTTATAAATAATACTTAGCAATCAGATTAACGTTGTTTATCGGTATTATAAAAATCATGTCTGGAATAAATTATTTTCTATTGTGTTTTTCTGTCTGTAGAAATTTATTTATTGAATAAATTTCATGAATTTGTTTGTTCTATTTATCGAATTGAACTTTTTGATCATTCAAATGTAATCTCAACTTTAAGAAATTTTCATTTCAACATATAAATGTTTTTCTTTTCTTCAGCTCATTCATTGCACAAATCTACATTCACAATAAGTTGAATGTTTCGATAAATTCGATCTATAATGAGTCATCAAAATCACAAGGCCAATAATGTTTTTCTTTTGTTTCTTAAACTTTCATCTTATGTTTAACAAGACAGCAACATATACCATCCCATTTTAATCAGTGCAAAATTGTTGTTCAAATAGAATTCATTTTTATATTTATTTTTGTTCTATTGTAGAAACATTCAATTTCATATAGAAATGTATCAATACAATATGTTGTGAATTATAGTTCATGACACTAATGTTTATCTATAGCAGACTTCAATGATAAAACTTGTGAAATAGATGACTGTGTTTCATAAATATAACACTAATAGACGAACAAACGCGTATCATTTCATTCGAGTATTGTTCTTTGGAATGCTCGTGTATTTCAAGACGGATTTACTTTTGATCTTAATCCCCAAAAAGATAAATAATTAACTATTGCTCTTAAAAGAAGAAAAAAAAAAGACTAATGATAATAATTGCTTGTTTGTCTAGTTCATTCAAGTTTTGGTCAAAATATTAATAGATAACATTGGTTTGCTGTTAATTAACAAAGATTATATCATTAGTGATTATGAAAGTTTATTCATTAAATTCATAACCGAATGATCTGAATAAAGTTTCTGTCTCATCCAAAATAAAAAATGTTATTCATGTACTATACATAGATCAATATATTCAACATTGTTAACCTTCTTTTCTATATAAAAAATAATGTTTCATTCGGTACACATTTTATAGGTTAAGGTCAATAATACTTACTAATTCAATATATGATAGAATTTGAACTCTATCATTCAGCCTCAAGTACTGATTGAATGTCAACCATTAGTTCAATCAATTTTCTAACAATCATAACAATATGAATAATTGCTAGAACAAGGTCAACAAGGATCATATGGTAGCACATAATAGAAGAAAAAAAGATTTTATTCTATAATTGACTAGTCAATTGTTCAATTATTGAATGAATAAAAACTAACATGATTAGGACTGAGATTTCAGTCGATGATAGTTTATTTCTATCGTATGAATGATTATTAATTAGTTAAAACTATTTGACATTATTTTAGTGGTTTTTTAACCTGCAATCTAATCTCTTTTGATTATTTTTAATGAGCAAAACATTGTGTTTTGCATATAAAAAAAATATATATATTGTGTAGTATTAAATTATTCAACAAGTCTATAATGAATAATTATAGCTTTATCAGGATTTATTTGAAAAACAAAGTCTATGATAGAAAGAATATAACGTTTGAATTTTTTTGAAGTTTCTACATATTTTACCTTATAAACTAAAATGATTGATTGTTAATTAGAGAATATGATAAATCCACATTCATCAACCATGAAATTATGAAAAATATATAGCTAACAAAATCATTAAACTCAGCCATTTCAAAATAAAACGTTTGTTATAATATTTTTTTATATTATAGTTGAAAACAGAATGAAGAAAGATCATTCATTCATTCTATTCAAAGTTTTATTCAGTAATTAATTGACTGAAACGAAAACTATGCATACTTGATTTTGATTATTTTTTGATTTCAATAGGCGTCAGTTATATCGACCTTGGCCTGTAACAACTGTCAATTCATTTGAATAACACAGGTTCAATATCAAAAGTTATAAATCAATTGTTTATATCTATGTCATTGAATAATAGAGAATATTTTATCTATAAGCATTTAATGACTTTTTCTTGAAGTAAACTCATTTATAGTGCAAAAATAACAAACGAAAAAAACAGTATGGTTAGTGTAGTCGTTGCTGTTGTTGTTATTGTTGTTTTTTCTGGAAATAATCACAGTTAGTTGTTCAAAACAAATAATGATTTTTAAAGTTTGATTTGTTTATTTGCCGAATTTAATAAACGATCAACGTTACTAAAAACAGATTTTTTTAAACCACGATTATTTTGTGATGTCATCATATCAGTGTCATTTTCATCTGAACTATCACAATTTTCTTCATCATGATGTTGATTTTGATTACCATTAATATTCTCAATATTATTTCCATCATTTGCAATCAGACCACACTTGTCTGATGATGATGTATGCATACCAATAGTATTTAATACAGTTTCAGCAGTTTTAATCGGAAAACTTTTTTGACTACTTGTTGATGAACAAGCACTACGACGTGAACGAGTTTTTTCAGAACCATTATTTATAAATGTTTGTTGAGATGATAATGTTGTAAATGTTGTTGGCGAACCATTATCATAAGAATTTTGAGATAAAGAGTATGACGCAATACTTAAATTTGATACTGATGAATTATCTTCGGACATATTAAAAAGATTTGTTAATGAATCAGATTTTTGTCGAATATTTGTTGATAAACTACAAACACTGTCAATTTCACTGATATCACTAGCTGATCCAGTTATTGAAACTAAACAAACAAAAAAAAAAACAAGAAAGAAAAATTTTTGTTTACTATATTATATTTAAATGTTTACTTGATTGTTGAGATATTGATGGAGATATATACTCTTCCATTTCGAGATAGGTTGGTGAATGAGGAGGGAGAATACGTCTTTGAAATTTCATTTTCTTGTTGTTTGTTATGTATTCGTTCACCTTGGTCAAATAAGGTCACATCGAAGATTCACCCACTCGTTCGATTATTATTTTTTGTTGTTATTCGTTGTCATCGTGGTTAATGCAAATATAAGCAGGAGAAAGGCAAAGAAAAAAAAAACGAAACGCAAATGATGACTAAATGTCTAGAATGAGAGAAAAAGAGAGAGAGAGAGAAAAAAGAAAGTTAAACATTTTTTTCTGAATCGACCGAGACAACCAATAGTGGAATTTGAGAACGATTGCGTTTAGCTGACGGAAAATTAGACATGATAATAATTAATATATACTATTTCTTTAACATCATGATTTGACATGTTTTAAAAAGAAAAAAAAAAAACCGAGAAAGTTTATATTCATATGTCATGTTCTTCGTTCTATTTTTCTTTTCTTCATTATATGAGAGTAGCATTAATGCATACCCTCAATCTTATGTAAAAAGGGTTTTGTTATTTATGTTCTGTAGTCTTTTATTTTATTTTTTTATTATAAGAAGAAAAAAGAAAGGAAGAACATAAATGAGAAAAGAAAAAGTGAATTGGTAATCAGCCAAATATAATAAATCAATACAATGACATGCACAACATAAGAAAGAACAAAAAGAACAAACTAAATCCTTTCTCTCTTTTTTTTTTTCAAAGGAATAATTAATTTTATTGTATGAATAAATAATCGAAAGAAAATAACGAAATACAATCATTTGATTGTATCAAAATTCTCTTTCAACTAGTGCAGCAAATTCTATGAAGACAAAAAAAAAATTTTTTTTTAACATGTCTATGAAAAATAAGAACAATCCACTAATCATATACCTTCAATAGATATTTTTCCATTTCCATCTCGATCAATTTGAGCAATCATACGACGAATCTAAATAAATATTTATATTTATTTACATTTATGAAATATTTAAGAAAATAAAAAACAAAGTAGCAAACAACAAACTTCTTCATTCGAAAAATGTCTTCCAAGTTGATCTAATATTATTTTTAATTCATCAGCTTCAATAAAACCATCATGATTATGATCAAATCTTCTAAATGCTTCAAGAATTTCAGCACGAGAAAATTTTTTAAAATACGTATCTGCTACTATTTCAGCAAATTCATCAAATTCAATACGACCTATATAAAAATCAATAAAATCATTATTTATTTCGTCTAATAACAAACCATTTTCTACAAACGAAAAAAGCGAAAGAAATTAAATTAATTTTTACAAAAAATAAAAATATCTATTTACTATCAGCATCTATTGCTGAAAACATTTGTCGAATTTCTTGTTCAGATAAACTAACACCTAATGCATGAAGAACTTGTTTCAATTCATTTATTGATATACTACCACTACTATCAGTATCAAATAAATCAAATGCTTGTCGAAGTTCTGAATATAAACAAAAATAATTCATAAGAAATCAAAATTGACAAATAATCACCTTGTAATTGATTTGAATTTAATTTTCGTATTTTTTTATTCTATAATATAGTTATTAAAAATTCTATTAAGTCAGATATATATATAGACGCTTACGCAAGACATTTATGATGGCGCTTGCTTAAATTATCTAAAAGAATATGACTTAATAAAATTCTTCTTCGTGAATGCATCACTCGGAAGATTATACTTTAGCTTACATGATGAAATGCATTAGCATGTGTAAATCCTGTTTTATTTATTTATTTTTTTTCGTTTGTATACTGTCTTTAATTCTTCTTATTCTTTCATGAATGTCTAAGAGATGAAAGAAAGAAAGAGGAATATGATAGAAAATGTATTCTGACATTTTTTATTAAAACAAGTGAATCATCAAAATTTATATATGCTCGTTGATTATAAACTTTAGAGAGTAAACATGTTATTTTTCTTTTGTTTTTACCCAATATTTTTTTCCAATTATACGTTGATATCTTTCTTTAGCAACAATATTATATATATATATAGTCTACTTACATAAAAATTCCAAGATATTACATTTATTTTCAATGATTTACTTTGCTTATATTCTTTTTATCTCAAGATTTTCATCTATTTTGTCATATTTATTGAAAAATTTGTTGTGGTTACATTCAATAATTGAATGAGAAAAAGGAACAGTTCTAAATCGATGAAAATAGTACTTACTAAATAATATTCTCTCTACTTATGTCTTTGTTTTTATGGTTCTTGTTCTACTAGAAGAACTATACAATATTAACTTTTATTTTTGTTTCACATATACATCTACGAGACTCAGGAGAATTGTCACATGTGTAATGGTGTGTAACCAATTGAGGAACTAATTACTTTTTTTTCTTCTTTCGTACAACTAAAATTTTATATCAAGATCTAGAGGAAAATAGCATGATCAAAGTAACAATATACTACAAAACAGATTAAAGACTTAATCTGTTCTATTATCAATAAATAAACTTTATTTATGACTTGTTTTTTTGGTAAAAACTTCTTCGTGATATGTCAAAAAAAAAAAATAATTGTGCAACTTTTTAATAATTTCATATTAATTCAAATGATATTTTTGACTTTTGAGCAAATATAAATAAGGGATATAAAGATTTTTGACATGTTGCTTCTATTTTAATCTTTTCTTTATTTTTCCATTTTGACTGGTTTAATTAATATTTCTATATTTACCGTACTAGTGATGTTGACAAGAAAGATGCATAAGTATTATATACAAAGAATCGTATAATAAATTCTGATGAATATATGACGTATTCAAAACATTTCTATTAAATCGAACATAAAGTTAGGAATATAGAGCAATACCGTGAAGAATATTTTAAATGTCGATTGCTTTTAGAGTAACTAAATACAAAATGTTATATGTGATGTTTTATAATAACGGAAAAAAAATATATTAAAATTTTATAATAGAGATCTAATATAAAGTTTCCGTTGATAATTTGTCTGTTTGTTATGATGCATGAATAAATGATTGATATATATTATTTTGACTAAAAATTTGTTGACTCTTTCGTCTAAATTAATAAAATAAGTTGTTTTTTTGCAACGATCAGACTAATTACTTATATTTGCATAAATTTTATGTCATTCTTTGTTATACTATATTTTATGAATGTTATTAAAGGATATCTTCTAGCACTAACGCTTTTCTTTAAACATTTTTCTCAACACAGAAAATATCATGACTAATAATAATTAGTATATAAGAAGTATAAAATGGGTGACCGGTGAAATAATTTCACTGCTAGTATTTTCAAAACTTCTCTTTCATAATTTATTTGATAAAATGCTTTATTTTTCTAATCAATAGATGACCCTGGAAATTTTTTATAAAATAATGTTTATTTATTTAATGAGTAGAGTCTATTCAATGTTTTTAATATAAACTATAATCAAGCAGTGAAATCAAGTATAAATTATAAAATAATTTCCTTTTTTTTCAACCTTTAAGTCAACATATTTGAATTAGTTTATTCATGCAGATCCTGTTATAATATGATCCGAATTCATAGCTGCAATAAATTCATTTCATAAACTATAATTCATTGGGTTTAAATCAGGTACGATTGATAACTAACTGCGATTCAAAATGGATATACGAAAATAGTCCGCATATCATTTTTAATTGATAAAAAAGGGATTAAAACCTAATAGCATTTTATTAACACTGTAGAGAAAACAGTGGGCACTTCGGGCTTAAAGTCCGTTGTTTTTTCCTTGAGTAACACCGAAATTTTGTTACAATCAGAGGTTAAAGTGTACTTGTGGACTCTCTTATAATTATAGAAAAGCAATTTTTTATTCTGACATGGGCAAATTATTCTACCTTAAAGATATTCGTTTTTTGTTTCGAACCGAATAAGAGCAAACGAAAGAGTGTGACAAATTGACATAATTAGCATTGATGATCAGTTCTTCTATTTGACAAATTAGTTATTCACAAGACAACTAATTATATTACTGAAATCAAAATTGATTTTTGTTCGTCCATGAAAATTTTCATATTAATTTTTTACACTCGTTTGTGTCTCTTAATTATGCCTGAAAATAATCTTTGAATCGTATCATATACGTATAACTTTATTAGTGAATTTCAAATACAATCTGTTGATAAAAATGTATTTTAAAAAGATGAACAACAAGGAAAAAATTTTTAGAATAAAAACATTGGAATTCTTAATGAACTTCTTATTATTTATAGCTAAATCTATCAAGTACAAAGTTAATCACGTTGTGGCATTGTACTGTGCAAGTTTCATTCACGATATTCTTTAAGACAACAAATATAGCAAAACTATAACTGACCGAGTCTAGTTCGGTTCGGTGGATTTACTAAGGCTTTTTACCAGTTAAATACAGCAGTACCAAGAGAAACTTTGGTTTTTTTCCCCTTCAATTCTCGCTCAAACTTTTACGATCCTTTGAAGAGATAGACCGAATTCTATCTGTTAGCTCTCGAAAAATTGTGTAAATAACATTTCTGTAGCTCGGAAAAAAGATACATATCTCTGAAAGTTTACTCTAGAGTTTTCATTGTTAATTTTCTTCACTCATACTCTACAGAAGAACATGTTGTTCTCTTTTTTTTCTGAGTCGAGAATCTCACTCACGTATGATCTCTGACGAAACATCAGTGCATTGTTTCAAGAGATTTAATCCATGTAACAGTTTTA